CTCTCTGGGATCCTGTTCAATACATAAATGTACTAGTGCAACTAATCAGTCAAGACAAACTGTACAGTTGACACTACAACCGTTCGGATGGGGTGTTCATGTCCATCTAGGTTGTGAACAACTATTCTTGTTCGCAAGTGACTGACAGAGTGATCTTCGGTTCGCCCGATGACGACCCACCCTATCTAAGTGCAGAACAACAGAACGTAGAACTTGTTTAATCTAACATGATTCTCATTCATAAAGGGTAAATGTGTAATAACATGCAAAGCCAAGCTTTCAGTATATAACACTAACAGCGGACGCTGGAACAGCACGGGATTGGCGCGAGGACGGCGCGAGGCAGGACACTACTCTCGAGCTGGCGGAGAGACTCGCGGGTCGCGGATGCTGGAAAATGAGTACTCTCGAGCTGGCGGAGAAACTCGCGGGTCGCGGAGGACGGCGCGAGGGCGCGAGTGAACGTGCGGGCGAGGTCGCGAGCTGGACTTCTTTCGGGACTTTTGATCGACTAAGCTCAAAATTCTCGGAAGGGACTATCTCAACAGCTCGAAACTTCTCGAAATTGACTCGGAGTCTTTGGGAAATCTCATCTCTCTCGGGACTCGGTTCGACTCTTCTCGCCATCCTCGAAAATAAACCTGAAAATACACCAAAAACACGGAGAAGTACGCCAAAATAAAAAAATAAAAAGGAAGACATAAAAACACACGGAAAACGACAAAATTGACCGGTCAAAGCTAAAACAATCCTAAAACCGACTCAACTATGCACAAGAAACACATAAAAAGAAACACAAAAACACAATAAGCAGGACAGAACACGCGAGCTCAACCTACACAACATTCTACCTAGAAGTGACTGGGATCAATTGCCCAATTAGACTGTCTAATAAGGAAGACCAATTGATAAGAGGGAATATTATCATGATAAGGACCACAATGGATACGACCACATGGCCTAATAGAATTGGGTAGTTCGGGCAGTACGGACGGACAGTTTGGCAGACCGGGCAACTCATTTGAGCAATCTTGGGCAACAAGATGACACATCCCTATATAAGGGGGGTGAGATATGTACACTAGAACATTACACTTCATATACTCACGAAACTCACAGGAATTGTTACTGTTCATCGTCTTTGTTGCTCATATTCTGACTTAGGCAATCGGAGGCTTTACGCCGAAAACCCCTCAGATGTTGAGTTTATGCACGTATCGAAGGTCATTAACTGACGAGGAGACAGATCAGCTCGAACCAAGCCGGTCGAAGTCTTTACATACGTTTGCGCCGTCTGTGGGAACTTTGTTTAAAAAGCCATCAAGCTTCACCATCAATGGCGAACGAGGATCTAATGAAGAATCTTGAGCCCACGTTTGACGAGGTGTGGGTTAATTCACGTACATGGGTACATGAACCCCACCTTATTTCTCTACTAGTTCTCAGATCCTAGGGACCCCGATGCCCAACCTTCTAGGCCTGGGGTGCAACTCAGCAATCCCAGCCGCCACCAAAGGCTCGAGCATTCACGTCATAGTTACAGCCGGAGTGGAGGTTGCAGCTGCATAGAAGACGCAACATGTGGTCGCACTGGCGCAGCCAGAGCGAGCGATGGTCCCGTCGATGGGGTCATTCAGGAGCGAGGCCGAGCAAGGAGAGCAACAACTCGTTACGTTGTCTAAGGAGGAGCTCACAAAGATGATTGTAGATGCAGTTGCAATCAGAGCAGCCCAGTAGTTCACTCAACAAACATCTCATGCGACCACTTTAGCAACTACTGTAGTGGGTACGACCAGGCGGGAGACGGAGGTGAGGAGCTAGAAGCATAGACACGGGGTTTTATAGGGAACATGCTGTTGAGAAGATAGCGAAGCAAATCTGTCAGTTGTAAGTGAAGGTCTAGAGAAAGGTTGTCGGTCGAGCTCGAGGACGTCCTTTTTCTCGAGAACTTTTTGAAGCTGCATTGGCAGCTAATTTCAGGAAGGTTAGTCTTACATATGACGGGTCGACAGTGTTGGGTTTTATTAGGAACGACAACAACATGTACGTTTGAATTTTGGAAAAATAAACCCTAACGCAGCGGAATCTATAGTTAGGGTTAGGATATTACCGTTTAAAATTTTGCAGACTTAGAGACGTTTCTGATTTCCTTTTATGGAGATCGTTTGATTATCACAACCCGATGTGCTGGGGGGTTTGGCCTTTCTCGATTCTGATCGAGTCACTGAATCACGAACGATTTACCAGATTGGGCTCGTCGGGCTCGGGCTGGTTGGATCAGGTTCGGGTTGGTCGGGACTCGGGCTGAACCGGTCGGGTCACATCTCGGGTTTGGTCGGATGCACGTTGTTCGCGGACAGGGTGCGAGTGGGTCACGGTCGCTGGCAGATGGCACAGGTCGCGGTCGCTGGCTGATCACGCGGGTCGCGTCTGACGCTGGACGGGACGCGCGAGTGCTGGAACGATCGCAGACGACGCTGGGATCTCGGGCGCGTATGGGTCGTGCGCTGCGGGACTCCTACTCCGGGTAAGACTAGGCGTGCGTGCGTCTGGGCCACGCGAACGTGCGTTGCACGATGCCTTCGCGTGATCAAGCTGAGGCNCAGCTTCCGGCGACTTCGGGCAGCTGCGATGATTTCCGGCGACTTTCCGGCGGCGGAGGACGGCTGCGGATGACCGAAAAAATTAGAGATCTAAGGATTTGATCTATCTAACCTTAAGATCTTCTAATGTATGATCCAAACACCTACTCCGAAAAATCTTGGTGAGCAATTTTTCGGATCTCTCAAACTCTCAATATATAGCACACACAAAGACTCCTTCTTCCCTTAGGAATCCTAGTCTTAGGCGTGTGGAATGTGTGGGGAGAGTCCAAGACATGGTGTATTTATAGACTGCATTAGAGACCTTAAGGAGGTGCCAAATTTAGGCTTATCCCATTAGGTTAAGGAATCCTAATCCCATTCCATATACTTTCCCAACCTAGGATAGAACTCCTCCTCCTAATCATCACCTTGTAGAAGACTCCTTAATCTCCTAACCCTAGGTAATATTTTAGAAGGAATATTCCTCTCTTAATGGAATATTAATTATGGAATAAAATTAATTCCTCAATCTAAATAGAATTAAATAATAAAACATTTCAACTAGAGTAATATTATTGTTCTCCCCATTTAGCTTCAATTTATTCAATAAATCAAGCCTCCAAATGATTAATTAATAAATCAATTAATTAATCTAATTGACCGAATTACCTCCCCATATTTAAGATATAACATCCGTCCATTAATTTATTTACTGATAATTAAATTAAATTGACTTCTTCATTTCCGAAATTAGTACCACTCAGTTCATTAATCTTTATGCCGGATAATTATCCACCTGCATGGTTTGACATAATATTCCTTCCTGAGCTCATTTCGGGGACGTCATCAACCCAGTGCATTGAGACATAGTGACTGTAATAATTTCTAATGGCACACTATATAAATATACTTACTTACCAAAATAGCGAGTATGTCATCCTAACAGAAGTACTAATGTAATCCATCAGTCAAAGATCAACTGAATTAAGACTACACTACAGTCTTTTCCTAACAGGGGTCTCACTACCTGTCTAAACTGTGAACCATAAATTTATATTTTGCAAGGAACCGATTGTATGATCTTTCTGTTCGACACAACGAACCATATTATCTAGAGTGTAAAATAATGGATTTATGATTGCATAAATAAATAAACTGCAAGAATAAATACTTTGACTAGAACACGATTGTAAGATCAGATGGTATTATTAATATCTAAAAGTCAAGCTTTTACAGCATATCTAACAGACAGATCCATCAAGGCATTTGAGGTCTTTCAAAAATATGTCTATGTCGCATGGTTATTCTGATAGGGTAAGTTGCCGAGCATTTCTAGCTACCCTGAGGGGAGGGGCTCAAGATTGGTTTCATCAACTTCCCCTAGGGTCGATGGGAGATTTCTAGGATTTTCGATTTATTGTTAAACCAGTATGCTAGTGCGATAGCCCAGGTGGAAATTTACCTAACTTTGATAGCGATGTGGCAAGAGGAGGGCGAATCATTGCGGAATTATGTGTCCTTGTATAATCGAGGTTGTGTGAAGATACCTTCGGCCTCTGACGAGGTCAAGGCTGGAGGTCTAATTAGGAGTTTGATGGGTTGGTCCATGTCGAAGCTTTTTGACATTGGTTAGGACTGACGATGAAGTACTTAAGAGGTGCAAGAAGCACGTCAATATGGATGAGACTAAGAAGAAATTTGCTAAGCTCGAGCAGATGTCTCGACCTAAAGTTAAGAAGGAGAGGGCGAGCTCTCTCAAAGAGGAGAAGTCTGATAAAAGAAGGGAGGTTCATTAGCAGGGTTGACCTTTCAAGGATCGCCAAAGTTACGACAAATACACGTCATGAAGGTACATATGGGCGATGTGCTCAAAATGATGGAAATAAAGTTAAATGGCCGCAAGGTAACCTGGCCTAAGTCAAGGAGTGAAGGTCCAACACCACTAAAGTCTGATCTCTATTGCAGGTTCCATCGAGATTATGGCCACACTACAGATAATTGCAGACACTTGAAGGAAGAGATTAACAAGTTGATCAGGGTTGGTCATCTCAAGGAATTTGTATATAAAGATATGCAAAGGAAGAATATGATAAGATGTCTCGAAGATCGAGGTGATTGGGAGACCTGGACCTGGTCAACCTTCGCAACAACTGCTTCTGCAATCATCTTCTGCAACTCGACCCGAGTTAGGCTAATTATCTGGTCTTCAAGTCGCCTACCCTGGTTCTTGAGAGAGACCTCTCTTTTCCTTTCATGACCTTGTTCTTCTTCTAGTTGCTTTTCACTCCCTCCAGATGTAAGTGTCACTTGCGGAGCTTGATTATTTTCTCCTGGAATAAGCAATTGGTCTCGTCCTTCGGGTGGGGTGGGTTGAATCAGCTCCTCTGGATGCAGGCCTGTTGGCGGTGCATGACTGTTCAACGGAGTCATCCCGAGCATAGACATAAACAGTTTTGGACTGACTTCGAGTGGGGGTTTCCCATTCGTCCAAGCGTCCCTGAAATCCTCCATTAAGTTTCTCTTCAATGTCTCTCTATCAGTCATCTCAGTCATGCGGAGTTGGGTGAGAAATCTCTTAGTTCTTTTAAGAATTCCCTATAGACGGTGCCAACTGATGTGTCGGACTGACGATCTACCTGAATCGGTGATTGGAAGTCTCTAATTGTCCGATCAAATGTGATAACCTGCAAAACAAGGGTCAGGATGAGTCCCAGCGTGAGCACTTTGATGCTCAATTCAATGATCAGAAAGGAGAAGAAGATGGTAAATAATATCTAGAATATTTAGAGACCAAAGATAGAAAAAAAATATTTCATTTGTACCCTATCCCTTTATATAGGGTGAGTACCTTGGTGCTCAATTAATTCTTGGTGCCTAAGGATTGCTCAGAGGGGTACAAACTTGCAACTCAAGGGCTGCCCGAGTTCACTCTTATCTGGGTATGGTATACTTATCTATGTCTAATTGTGTTCACACCTAAGCATTCACTTTATGCTACCTGATCATAATTATAGATTTCTTTATCTATAGGTCGACTTACCGAGTGTTAGTAGGTCTCTTAAGTATTAAGCTCATGTGCACCCAAACTGTCTCGAAGCCGCCCAGGTCAAACATATCGATTACTCTATAACTGAGCTGGGTAGCTCGATTAACTCTAGTATATCTTCTTAGCTTACTCGACCTAATTTAGTCCTGAACTAGTCTACCTGCTCAATTCTGAGGTGTAACTATCGATTCAACCGAGCTATGTCTATATCAATTATATATATATGTATATATAAATTATGAAATGACATACTCATGTTTAGAATGTACTAGTATTTGATTCTGTGCACATGCACAGAGGGAAATTTTTTTTATATATTATATGTACGTATGTAATATTTAAAAATTTAAATTAGATAAAGTGTGTATTACATATTAAAATTTTGACTATATGTAAATGTATAATATAAATATAAATTATTTAACTTCCGTATAAATCATTTTTTTTTGTTATTGTATAATTATAATATAAAATAGCAATATTAGTAAAAATTTAATTTAATATTATATATTCGAAAAATTTAAAATCTTGTAAAGTTATTACAGAATAAAAAATTAATAATAATAAAGTTTTACTTGTGTAACTGTCATTTGAATGGTAGTCATAAAGATTTTTATTAAATATTGAACATATTTTTATTAAATGAACATCTATTTTAATTAAATGAACTCATATTATTATTAATTGTGGCTGAATAAAATTTATTGAAGTTTACCAACAATTATATATATAGATTATAATGTGTGATATTTAATTATAAAGTACGTAATTTGATGATAATATAATAATTTTATGATAATACATATCTATTATAAAATATCATACTCTTATTTATAATGTATTTTAAAGTATAATATTTAAGTATGAAATATGTAATTTTATAGTATGTCTAATTATTAGATCGTATAACACAATACCGTATGTTTTTATACTCAAAATAGTAACAAATTATGTCAATTCATATGTACGTTCTTGCGATGGAAAAATATTCTTCCACGTTAGCACATCCCATATTGATTGCAACTTTGGGAGAAAAAAGAGAATATTGATTTCAATCTATTTCGAGTCGGTTTAAGTGTTCGGTCCGCTCAAACACGACCCAGAGTCGACCAATCTTAGATTATCCTTATCTCCAATCCAACTCAACCCAACCTAATAATTAAAAATTATTTCTCTCTCCTCCACCTATACAACTCAACCTTACAACTTAATTTATCTTTATCTCCAACTCAACTCAACCTAAATTTTTATTTTATTTTAATTTATTTAAAAATTACAATTTTATTCCAAAATATATCAAGTGTGGTCTTTATTTGTAGAGAATAAAAAAATACAAATTTTAATATTATTTTTATTTTTATTTTTTTAAAAAAAATACACTTATCCAATCAAAATAAGACAAATATCCCATTCTCCAAACACTAAACGAGTCGCGACCCAGGTCACAACCGCTCATTTGACCCAACTCATGGGGTCACCGTTAAAAGATGGTCTTACATGACACCATCATGAATCATGTACTGTATATACATTTCCAAGAACTATTGACTCCGCTCGTGTATAAGTCCCCCAACCTCCAACAAGTTCCGTCTTTCATAAACAAATATTCTAAATTCTCACGTCAAAACCTTCGCCTGCAAGCACTCATCTCCTTCACCTTCCCGTTCGCTCCAATCACATTCTCGATTACAATCGCCTATACACGCATCGCATATACGTCAATGGGAGGGGTGCCGTCAACGCCGCTGGCGGGCGGCGGAGCGCCGCCGCAGGACACGGCTGAAAACTTAATTGGGGCCTTCGTCGGGGAAAAATCGTTTCCCCTCGCCGACGATTACTGGGAGAAGCTTCTCGACGCCCAGTTCGATCTGCGCTGGCCTCCTGATCACGTTCGCCAGGCTTGCCAGCTATTCGGTCAGTCCATCACCGGTTTTTCCTTTTGCTTTTTTTTTTTTTCTTTTTCTTTTTGGAAATTTAAGTTTAGGATGATATTTATTTCCCCTGAAGGTAGCTATTTGTGTGTTGTTCTGACACGCTGTTGTTGCATTTCGGGTGCGCATTCACTCGAGATATTCTGCAATCATAAACTTTCGAATTTGGTTTTGCGAATGGAATTCAATTCACATTTTTCTTTCCTGGATATGAGCCTAGTCGAGTCCTGTGTGCGCGTAGTGTGTTTGTCTGTGGCTAATGTTGAATTATAAGTTGTGACATATCAGGTGGTTGAAGCATGTGTTGTGTTTTATGTTTGACGTTGGGAAATACGCTGGGTTGTTACACTATGAAAAGAATTGATCTATAGAAATCTGTGGGGGAGATGTGCTGTTGGTAACCCTTAGGTTTTAATGGTGAAATTCTGTAAATAATATTCGGATGGGGTATAAATCTTTTCTGGGCAAGTATCATACCTCAAATATTTGTATTAAATTCACTCCAAGTCCAGGTAAATCAGTCACATCACTGTAATTAATTACATGAACTCGTTTTTCCTTTTACCTTTTTCCTTTCATGTATGTATGCTCTAGGATTAATTTAACTAAAAAGCTAGGAAATGTGAGCATTTGACATTACCTTAGTTGTGAAACATCTCGGAGTGATTTGGAGAGATTCACTGATTTGGTTATTGATCTGAAAATAGTTGACTGAAAAGGAAACGGATTCCAACTTCGTTCATTAATACATACATATACTAATCTTCTAATCTTGGTAGTCTTAAACACTACATTTCTCGTTGGAGATACTTTTCTTTTCTTGAAATATTGGTAAGTCATGGAATGCATTTGGCTTTAAGAAAAATATGTCCATGCAGTCACATAGAAAAAGGAATATCTATAGGCATCTATTATAATGTTGGTAAGTCATGAAACATATGGTAAGTCATGAAACGTATGAGCATCTATTTAATTATTATGATAGTGCAATGTGAAATGTATTGGTGGCAGCTGTCCTTAGTGTGCTATCTCTCAAGCTAAGAGAACTAATTTATGTATTGTTAATAAAATTTTAGGTACACTGCATATCTTTAAGATGCTTTCCATTTTCTGATTTGTGTACTGAATTAGTTAACTTACTCTGAGTTCGTTTGCATGCAGCAATGAACAACTGCAACACAAGACACCTTGCAAAGATTTTGATTCACCTAGCATGGTGCTTGCAAGATTGTTCAGCTTCTGATGTTCCATCTCCAGCTTATCCAAAAGCTCTTAATGCTCTATTTATGTTATCCGTTTTTCTGAAGAATCTGATTGAAAATGCTAAGAGTGACAACTTTGAAGAACTATACCTCTCGCTGGACGAAACTGAACCAACACCAATTAATTTGTCAAAAGGTTCCATTTACTTTCTTACACATAGCAGTATTCGTTTTATATCCTTGTGTATGTGTTTGCATTCCTTCTGCATTAAGAAACTGTTCTATTTTTATTTTACTGTACCTATTGATAATTGGCATCAGCGCATACCTGTAGTCTCCTTCAAGTCTGCCGCTTTGGGGTGCATTTCTGCCATGACAGATTAATTTGCATGCCAGTGCGTTGGTTTTTACTTAGCTTTTGACTCAGTTTGATTGAGGTGCCTGATGAAGGTCCAACATTTTCGCCAGTATTGTGAAAAAATTACACTTTGACATATACAAGGTCGATATCTGCTGCCTGCTGGCTAGGGTTTTCCTGTATGATAAACTTGGTTGGTCATTTTCCCTAACAGTAACACAAGGACTTGGCGTTGAATCACCTGTACGGTACTGCTGTAATGATCATGATATTACTTCTTCTATACAACAACAACAACATAGCCTTTAGTCCCAAGCAAGTCGGGATAGGCTAGAGATGAAACCCAGGAGAAACACAAAAAGACTCGAACCGAAAGGAAGAGATCGGAAAAAAAAAAAACGAGAGAGAGAGAGAAAGGAACAAAAGTCACGGTTCTGGCACATTGATTGCGAGCCTCCAAGCGCTCCTATCCACCGCTAAATCCTTGGAGATATTTCAATCTTTAAAGTCTCTCTTAACCGACTCTTCCCAACCGACTCTTCCCAGGTGAGTTTAGGCCGACCTCTACCTCTCTTAACATCCTCGACCCGCTGTAGAACTCCCCTACGCACCGGTGCATCAGGAGGCCTCCGTTGGACATGTCCGAACCACCTCAGCCGATGTTGAACCAATTTCTCCTCAATTGGAGCAACCCCGACCCTATCTCGAATATCCTCATTCCGGATTCTATCCCTTCTTGTGTGCCCGCAGAACCAACGCAACATACGCATCTCTGTTACACTTAGTTGTTGGACATGTTGCCTTTTTGTAGGCCAACATTCAGCACTGTATAGCATCGCCGGGAGAATCGCCGTCCTATAGAACTTACCTTTTAGCCTTTGTGGCACCCTCTTATCACAGAGAACGCCCGACGCCTGACGCCATTTCAACCAATCGGCTGCAATTCTATGCCTAACATCAGCATCAATGCCGCCATCCTTTTGTAGCATCGATCTCAAATACCGGAAAGTCTTCTTCTTGGCCACCACTTGCCCGTCAAGGGTAACTTCACCATCATCATGTGAAGCCATGCTGAAAGCGCACGTCATGTACTCGGTCTTCGTCCTACTAAGTCTGAAGCCTTTCGACTCTAACGCGTCCTTCCACAGCTCCAACTTCCTATTTACCCCTGCTCTACTCTCGTCAACTAGTACCACATCATCAGCAAAGAGCATACACCAAGGGATATCACCTTGTATGTCCCTTGTGACCTCATCCATCACCAAGGCAAATAGATAAGGGCTCAATGCTGACCCCTGGTGTAGTTCTATTTTAATTGGGAAGTCGCTGGTGTCGCCCCCACATGTTCGGACACACGTCATCGCATCCTTGTACATATCCTTGATGAGGGTGATGTACTTAGATGGGACTTTGTGCTTTTCTAAGGCCCACCACATGACATTTCTCGGTACTCTGTCATAAGCCTTCTCAAGGTCGATAAAGACCATGTGCAAGTCCTTCTTTTGGTCCCTATATCTCTCCGTCAACTGACGTATTAGGAAAATCGCCTCCATGGTCGACCTTCCAGGCATGAACCCAAATTGGTTTTGGGTCACACTCGTCACTCGTCGTAGGCGATGCTCGATAACCCTCTCCCAGAGCTTCATAGTATGGCTCATCAACTTAATCCCACGGTAGTTACCACAGCTTTGAATATCTCCCTTGTTCTTGAAGATCGGTACTAAAGTACTTCTCCTCCATTCATCAGGCATCTTGTTTGACCGGAAAATGAGGTTAAAAAGTTTAGTTAGCCATGCTAACGCTCTAGCGCCCAAGCATCTCCACACCTCAATGGGGATACCATCAGGGCCCATTGCTTTACCTCCCTTCATCCTCTTCATAGCCTCTCCGATCTCTGCCTCTCGAATTCTTCTCACTACGCGTCTATTGGTATCCTCAAATGAGTCATCCAACTCCAGGGTAGGACCCTCACTCTCCCCATTAAACAATTTGTCGAAGTACTCTCGCCATCTGTCCTTGATCTCCCCATCCTTCACCAGTGGCCGATCCGACCCATCCTTAATGCATTTGATTTGGTTGATGTCCCTTGTCTTCCTCTCCCGAATCTTAGCCATCCTATAAATGTCCTCCTTCGTGCCTAGGCGCTGATAAAGGTCATCATAGGCCTAACCCTTTGCTACACTCACGGCACGCTTTGCATCCCTTTTCGCTATTTTATAGCTTTCAGTGTTGGTTGCACTCTTGTCAAGGTGGAGGCGCTTGAAACACTCCTTCTTCTCCTGAATAGCCCTTTGCACCTCGTCATTCCACCACCAAGAGTCCTTCGCTTCCTGCTTGCCTCCCCTACTCACACCAAGGACTTCTGCAGCCACCTTCCGTACACATGTTGCCATCTGTACGGAAGGTGGCTGCAGAAGTCCTTCTTCTATAGTTCATATTTTTTCAATCACCAATCTGTCTTTGCATTTGTAGTGATTGTGATTTGTGTGGAAGATGTGTCAGTCTGAGTAAGGTTGGGTTATCTAATTATCAATGATGATGTGTGACTGATTGTGATTGATTCTATTTTTCTGTTCTTTATTTACACATATATACTGTTGGTTCTCAGCTTAAACCAAATGTATGTTCCTTCAGAGAATAGCATCTAGGCCATAGACATAATAAGATACCCTAATAACTCCGTGGAACCAGAAAGTTGTACTTTGCCTTTTGCAGTAGATTGAGCTGCTTGAAAATGACCTTTATTTGTTCTTATGTTAAATTCTTATGGTGCCTCCTCTACTAATTTGCATTACTTAGTTAGATGTTCTAATTCATTTGTTCTTCCTTTAGTGAATGTTAAAAGCCATTGATATTTACCCAGTAGTCCACCATTTCGTACTCTCTCTTTCTCTCTTTCCAATTGCTTTTCTGATGGTTGGTAGTATACTCGACTTCGTTCCTCATCTCACGTTCAATGCAGGTAAAGGAGTTGAGAACTTTGTTATGTACAGTGCACTCAACTTCATTGCCAGAGTTGATATTAGGTACATATTTTATATGTAGGAACTAAGTCCATTGATTTAATACTTTGTGCTTAAATACCTTTCTTATGCGATTTTCTCAAGTCCTGGAACATACCTTCTTCATCATGACTTGCTTGACTTCATGCTGATTGCTATGTCTACTCAACTTTTATCTGGGCCGTCATCTGGACTGGATGACAAACATCCTTTCATTGATGGAGCAATGGTGCAGGTAGAACCATGTAACTTTATAGTCTTGCTAGTTATGAATTAATTTTTCCATGTTAATATGGCTGCTATTTCTGCAGGAACTTTATTTTGTTAATTCGGTAGTGCATAAGTTGTTCCTCAATTACCTCATACACCCTGGAGTTCTACCAAACAGTTTATCATATACCATATTTCCTGAAGGAAACCAAGTTGATGTTCTGAGGAGAGTCGGTATGGCTGCTACTACAGATAGTGTGGCACGAGCATTGCATTCATCTATGCTTTTAACTTATGATATTTGATTTATAGTTTATTAGATATTTCTGTATGACTGGGATTAGTTTCTTCATAGGAAATTTTGGAACGTTGTTGTTCTATTGGTTCAGTTTTATATAAAATTCATACAAGTGGACTTAAATTTGCATCCCTTTTTAAATGATTGGACAACTTAGTTGCGTAACCTTGAGATCAGTTGTATCTTGTTTTCAAGGTGTTATCTCCTAGTCCATCTCTGTCTGTTGAAGGCTACGATACCTCGTAAATGGTATCAACAGTAGGTTTTCATAGATATCTTTAATTTGTGCATTTCCTGTCTATGACTGCGCTACCCTTTTTATATGCGTATCTCTCGTGGTCTATGTCACTAAGAATTTGTCTTATACTTGCAGCAAACTTGGTATTGGTGCCCTTTCACTACATTGCGAGCTCAACTAGTGCAGCTTCCAGAAGTCGATTGGCTGAAAGCAGTCTTAATATTCTGCTTATTCTTAGTCATTACCATAAGTGCATGCGAGTTGATGGGAAGAATAATAGTGATTATAGCATCTCAGAGTCTCTCTCTAAGGAAGATACATATTTCTCAGAAAACCCATACCGCAAAGCGGTCGAAAATGTTAGGGATATTGAATGTATGTTCCTGTGCCATATTCTATCATATGTTATATGATTTATGATTGTTGGTGTTTAAGTCTTGGAGTGGTCTGTCTGCAGTTAATCAAGTTGATATCAAGGGGAATGCACAAAGTGATCCACTCGTGAGGCTACCTTTTGCTTCTCTGTTTGATACTCTTGGCATGTGAGTGTACCTTTTTTTTTTTTTTTTTAAAATTAAATTACCTGTTCTAGTCCTCTTATTGAGACCACTTATGAGTTCCACTTGATTATCTATGAAATTGATACTTCTGAAAGCATTAAGCATAATGCTTAAATTAAGCACACAAACCACTGTATAAGAATAGGTTTCAGTTGGCTAGAGCTCTTTATTCACTTCTATTTGTAATTGTTTAATATTTGCTATTGAAATTTAAAACTTCACCTCTGTGGTTCTTATATGATTTAGTTCCTTTATTATGCATCAGTTTCCTTAAGATATAATTGTAGTTCTGTCAGTTACTTCATCATTTAGTGATTTGCTTGGAGATGTATTCTCAATTTGCAATATCTTAGATCTTTATATGCCAAAACATCTCCTTTATATTTGACACAGCATATGCAATTTTAGAAGACATCTAGTTTCTTCTCTTATTATTTATATACTTATTTTGAAGTTATCAGGTGCATGGCTGATGAAACTGCTGTCTTGTTGCTTTATTCACTGGTCCACGGCAATCCATATTTTTTGGAGTATGTTTTGGTGAGAACGGACCTGGACACACTGGTATGAATAATGGATTCCCAATATTTTTAGTAAATTACTTTTTTTCTTTTAAGTAAGTAATATATATTTGGGAAGACACAATGATGAGTGAACAACTAAAATTAATATTTTGATAGCTTCTAATGGATGTTTTTCCTTTTATTTTTATTTTTATTTTTATTTATGAGTATATAGTTTCCTTAACATTTGCCATATTTTTGTTGCAATAGGAAGGTTGGGGCTTATCTACTTTGTAATTCTTCATTAACATGCCTTTTGGAAAACATTTGTGCACGACTGTCAACCTTGTCCTGATATTCTTCAGTTTGTTTGTTTTTCCCCCTTATGTTCCTTTCCACTTTTTCGGTTGGAGTAAGACATATTTGCAATATTAAGGGATTAACTTAATGTTGTTTTCAGGGTAATTAAGATACTGCATTTTGCTCTGTTCTCATTGCAACGTTGGAATGCTATTGAATATTTTCCGTTTTATCTTACAGTTGATGCCCATGTTAGAAACACTATATAATACTCCAAGAAAGATGCCCAATCACATTTATATGGTGCTGATTATCCTTCTTATACTAAGCCAGGATTCATCTTTCAATTCCAGCATCCACAAACTGGTATACATTGTTCTGATTCTTTCTCACAGGTTTATTTATTTTGAATGCTTATCTAAGTTAATATGTGTTCTTGTAGATGCTTCCTAGTGTTCCATGGTATCAAGAACGTCTCCTTCATCAGACCTCTCTCGGTTCCCTCTTGATCATAATTTTAATTAGGACTGTGAAATATAACCTCTCTAAGCTACGGGTACGACTTGATTCAGCTGGTCTAGCTTATTTCCAATTTTCCACTATCTATGAAATGACATGTGAGTCTGCATCTGTTGCTGTTAATACCTTTTTGCAGTGGCATCTTGTTAGATCACTTAGCCCACTGTAAACGAACAAAAAAACTAAACCTTCTGAACTTCACCCTTTTTTTGGAAAGTTTTGCACTTAACCCCATGGGCTCAGTGTTTTTGCACACATTACTCTATAAGCCACCCAATCATTTGGCTTTTTGCCCAATTTTGATCACATGCACTACACTTCGGCCCAAAATCTCCTTCACCAAAAACAAATTTGTATTGATTTATCATGTTATTTAATAAAGATGTTTGTAATATAAATCTGAAATGAATATAAATATAATATACTTTTGATGAGGTTTTGCAAATGTATCTGGTTATGAAGTTTTTTTGCACATATGTTGAAACAGGATATGTATCTTCACACAAATTGTCTTGCAATATTGGCCAATATGGCTCCACATGTTCATCGTTTGAGTGCTTATGCTTCACAGCAGTTGGTTTGCCTTTTTGATATGCTTTCTCGCAAGTACGTCACATATTTCATTTCCCATACTTGATGTCTTACGGATTAATTCTAAAATAATGGATGAGTTCTATGTATTTCTGTTCGTTTTCCTCGGTCTCAATCTATAGGTACAACAAATTAGCAGATGTAAAAAATGAGAAGATGACTATGGCAGATGGTGGTCCAAGAGGAGAAAACCTTCCAGATGATCCGGTAATTCCTTCTCTCGAGTGTTGTTTTTATAAGAGTAAAAGTCTTCTTAGTTCAATTATATTGCGCTATCTTGTTTGCTGATCCTTCCATTCTATACTGCAGTTAGCAGAACTCCATATCTATACTGACTTCCTGAGACTTGTGCTGGAAATACTTAATTCAATTCTAACATATGCTTTACCGAGGAATCCTGAGGTACCACAAGTTGTTTTTGATTACTCAGACAAATATGTTTCTTATCTGAATTTCTACTTTCTGGCCTTTATTCCATAATTTGATTACAGTGACTGTAAATTTCAGGTTGTTTATGCAATTTTACACAGGCAGGAGGTTCTTCTACCTTTCAAGAATCATCCACGATTTAATGAGCTGTTGGAGAACATATATACCGTATGTGCTAAGCAGAGAATATTATAGTTTTCAGAAGCAAATTTACCTTTTGGTAACTCGTGAACAAAATTGTACCCCGGATTCAAAGTTATGGTCATGTCAAAGAAGCTTTATTTGTAATCTGAATTTCCTCTATTACAGGTCTTGGATTTCTTCAATAGCCGTATTGAAACTCAGGAAAGGGATGATGATTGGTCGGTGAAGAAAGTGCTTCAAATCATAATCAACAACTGCCGCTCTTGGAGAGGTGAAGGCATGAAGGTATATCGCAGGAGTAGTAATTCATTTATTTATTTTCCTGTTTATATTTTTGTTTTTATTGCGGTTATCGAAAATGCTTTATTATCTTATTTCTGAAATTGGTTTCAAACAGATGTTTACTCAACTACGCTTTACCTATGAACAAGAGAGTCATCCCGAGGAGTTCTTCATCCCATACGTGTGGCAGGTGGTATTGTCTCACAGGTGCGCTTCCTGTAACATTATAAATATTAATACATGTCCTTTTTTTTTCAATGACATGTCGAGACTAATCTATAGAATTTATTAGCTTATGCTTGCCTGATTTTCACATGTTTACGTTGCAGTGATTTGGCTTTTGATCCCAGCAGCATAAATTTATTTCCGGTGCAGGTAGAAGTAAGTTTCATCACTACTAATTGTCTGGCATATTCTTCTGCAATAACTACAAAAACTCCCTAACCGAGTTGGAAAATATATCTTATTACGTGTGAAATTACAAGAATTCTGTTAAAAAGTGTTACAAGTTTCTATCCTGGGTTAGGGTTTATTTTACAAATCACACCATGGACGGTAGCACCTTTGTAACAGATACACGTTATGGGGTAATTTGTGACTCTGAGGAATAATTGGCATTGTACTTTCTTTTAGGTAATTAGGCCAGCCTTCAAGGTTAGTTTGAAATTATATCTTTTCCTTATCCTTGTGCTGCACAGAAAGCCTTGTTGCTTTTCTTATTTAGCCTTTTGTACAGATTGTTTAATTTGTTTGATCAACAATTGAAATAACTGAAAAATGTAAAAGATTTAACTTACTGGCATCTTATTCAGTTTCTGCATTTCTGAGCTTATAAATGTGTAATCCCTAAGTATCTTCAAGGTCTTTAGGCCATGTGGTGAAGAATTATTTCCTATATCATATGGTTATATTTCACTGTTCATATGTACTATATGCAGGCTGTAAATAGTGAATCGATGATAAATAAACTTGAAAATGGCGAGCAGAAAGAACAACCACTTGAAGCATAGACTGGATGGTGGACTGTATAATCCACCTGAAGACATCAGGTTCACTTAACATACATACACATAAATACACACACACACAAATTTATCTCATTATGTAAATGTTTCAGGGTGTAGGTTTTTATATATGAAAAGGCCTTTTACCAATGTAACAAATAAAAGAAGAATCTCTAACCTGCGTTACGATTTAGAAAAAGTGAAAATATGTGCATGCTGAGTAGGGGTCCTGATGTGAACTGAATCAAGCATTTGAACCTGGATGGAGTAATAAATTGATTTTGTTATGAAATTGAAAACCATCTATGGATGTGAGTGTAAATGTGAGTTTTGATGTGGTAGTTCTTTTGTAAATTTTGTGAAGTTGCTCTCATGGTTCTCCTCCCTGCATATGAAATATTACGGACAGTTCTGTATATTCAGTGTTGCGAATGAGTGGATGTATAGGGCTCAATTGGATATGAATCCAACCAATTTTGCCCGGTTTTGTTTGGTTGAAGTGAGTTATTTTGAATTAAGTAAATTGAGTGGATGATTTTGAATTTGAAATAAATAAATTTTAAGTATAATGATTAAATTTGATGTGATATAAAAATATGAGAGATTTTATTGTAAGTCATAGGTAGTTAAAATTATGTGAGTGAATGTATAATGAATTAAAGGTGATGTGATGTGCAAGAATGGTTAATTTGTATTGTTTAATTATTTTTATAGAATGTAATAGAGTTTGGTTGAGTTTGATTTTGAGTTAGATGATAGGATATGAAATACTCAACCGATCATAATTGTTTAAAATCGGTCATAACTGTAAGACCCATCTACTTATCTTTGGAAAAGTACTGAATTTTCAAAAGTAATTTCGACTTTTTCGAAAACATTTTTAAATTTTGTACATCTTTAGGCACCTTACTTCTACTTCTTCTAAACTGGTGGGAACTTATTTGCTTTTAGAACTTTACTCAAGTCTTGCACTTATGGAAACTCTTCCCAACAGCTAACTCAATTTATCAACTGCTCACAAAAATTCTATGGAGCCATCGGATGGTTTTTTTATGGAGCCATCCACCACTTAATGTATTGATACATGTCCAAAGTGTATTATTTATTGCAGGACACGTGTCAATACACTATTGGTGAATAAGTGTGGATGGCTTCATAAGCTGAGCCATTTGATAGCTCCATAGCAAAACTGCAACTGCTCTTCTCATAAGCATGCTAAAATGCAATAAAAATTTATTTGGATTTTTTTGGTTTGGTTTGGTTAATTTTGAAAAAGGTGGTATGGTTAGTTGTTAGTGGTATATTAATATAATATTAAAAATAAAATAATTAAAATTGATTTAATGTAAAAGTATGAGAGAAATGATTTGAAGTGATGGTTAGTTAAAATTATGTGAGAGGATGAATAGTGAATTAAGGTTGATGTGATGTGTAAGAATGATTGGTTGATATTGTTTAATTATATTAATAATATTAATATTAGTTGGGTTGAGTTAAAGTTGAGTTAAAAGTGTTTGGATTTTTTGGATAAATTTTGTATCCAAGCATCCTCTTAATGTTTCAAAACAATCAAAGCATATTCTCAAACTCATGCAAAACATTTGAAAAGGCAACAAGTATTAATAATCTAGCGGAGGCATAAATCTGCATAACATGACATGAACACACTCCCCATCGTGTCCGTCGCCAGCTCGCTTAACCTGTAGAGGGGAAAAATGAGGGGCGAACAAAACAACTTTGCTTAGTGGGGAGACACACTGCACGATTATTCGTCATAATAACAGATATCATAATATTAGCATGAACATGAATAAATTGGTCTCAACTACTGCTCAACCGTCGAATACATAGGATACTGCCCACTCGACTACGGAAAACTATCTCATTTGTACACACTTTTACCGTCGGATACATGGGATACTGCCCACTCCACAACGAAAGATCTAACTGATGGCCCCGCTCAGGTCTTGCCGCGCTTAAGCAAATACTCACATACATATCTTTACTATAATACCAAGAATGCTCGGATCTTGCTTGAGGGCTCAACTCTTCTTAATTTAAAAGTTTAAGAATTTATTTAATATTATAATATTTTACGTAAAGAATTATTGAGACACGTTCTTGATTTGATTGCTTAATTAAATTACTCAATTAATTGCTTAGGGGCGCTGCTGGGCCTCAGCTGCTAGGTGTTGCGCCCTGGGAGACCTAGATCTGCTGGGCGCTGTTGGGTATTGGAAATTACTAGTGCAGACTCGATTCAACCGTTGCTGGGTAGACACTGGCACGCTGTTGGTCGTCTGGGCGGACGGGCGCGTACGGGATGAGTCTACACGGGCACATGGGCGCGCACGGGACACTGGGAGACGGTCTGTCACTGGATCGTTGGAGGGTTGCGCACTGCGGGCGTCTGTAGGCGTGGGGCGCGGGCGCTGAGGTACGGAGTCACGCGACACTCCTTCTAGGCGCGAGGACGACACGGGACGTCTGTGGGCGTCTGGCATCGTGCAAGGGTCGCTGCTCCCGAGTCTGCAGCAAATGTTTGGAGCAGGGGTGCACCAGCTCTGGTCTGCGTGGGTGGCATATTCCAAGAAAGTGCTAGGTCGCTGCCAGCCTGCTATCAGCTGGGCTCGACCAAGCTTTTCTCCAATGATTTTCGTCACCGGTTGGAGCTTTCTCCGGCGACCCTTGGGGTCTTAAGAAGACTATATTTTTCTGATTTTAACCAAGGCAAAGGTTTGGGCAAAAGGGTAACCTAAACCAAGGCTAGAGTTCTCCCTTTTCAACATAATTCTTAACTTTTCAAACAAGTCTTAAGGCATGCAAACTCATTTCTCGTCACTGAAATGTTAACACATTTTCATCATGAATATACAAAAAATATGGTTTTGCAAACTTAAGCAATTTCAAGGCAAAACAAAGCTACAACTTGGCTTCTTTCTTCTTAAATTTTAATAAACTTTGCATGCTAACTTGATTCTTCTTAACTGAACTTTAAGCATTCAAAACTCGGCCATAAAAGGTATTTTGGCTCAGCTTTTTACCTTTCTTTGGGAAAGGTAAAATAACAAGGGGCACGGGTCAAGGCTGAATGTGCTCGGCTCTTGGTTTAGCTGATGGGGTGCTCTTGGCACTTGGTGGCTGCTGGGATGCCTCGGCACGAAAATTGGCTCAGCTGCTCTCACTGCTTCAAGGGTCCTCAGCGGTCACTGCTCGTCTATTCTCGACTCCTCTCGGGTCTCTTCGGTAGGTGCTGCTTGGGTCGTGCACTGGCTTGCTCTCGGGAAATGCTCGGGGTCTCCTCGGCACTTGTGGCTGCCGAGAGGAAAATGCTGGAGACTTGGGAAAAATTTTGGGAAATGCTAAAGGGAGAAATAAAGGTGGTGGCTGAGGGTCTTTTAACCTTTAAATAAGTGGAAGTTAGGGTTGGATGTTTGGAGGATTCGTCTAGGGTGTGGGAGCTGAGTTTCATGGAATTTAGTTGGGCTAGGGCTTCATGGTGGCTGATGTGGCGGCTGAGTGATGAGGGAAGTTGGAGCTGCTACTTCTGAGTCCTTAGGAGGTTGTTAGGCTAGTGGATGACCCAATTTTAGGTCTTAGGAGTGAGGGTTGCGGCTGGTTCTTAAGTGTCTTGCTTGGACACTTGGTCTTGGCCGAGAAATGGCTTGCTTGGGTGTTAGGTTTGGCCGAGTTTGGGACGTAGTATTATTTTAGGTACTTAGTTTAATTTAAGGAGATTAAATAATTTACTCAGATAAATTTATATAATTAGGATAATTGGCACGATTAAGTTAGAAATAAATTGATTTAGGCAAAGTAATTATTTTACCTAGATTAATTGGATTAACAAAATTTGATAAAAATAATTCAGGTCATCCATTCAATTTTGGTTTAAGTAATTTGACAAATTAGGATTAAATTCCAAGATTAAAGAAAATATTAATCGAGTTTGAATGAATGCAAAACATGCCATTCTTTTATTAAAGAAACGGGATGCTACAACCTACCCTCCTAAAATGAATTCCGTCCTCGAAAATTACAAAGCAAAGCTTAGAAAACAAAACTAGGAAACTCGAACGAAGCTCGTCCTCTCTCTCCCAAGTGGCATCGCCCTCACCATGACGGCTCCACTATACTTTGACGAGCGCTACTTCTTTTCTCCTCAACTGATGCATCTTCCGGTCTAGGATGGCCGTAGGTACCTCCTCATACATCACGTTTTGCCCAACGTGTAGCTCGTCAAAGTTCACCACATGCTCGGGGTCGTGCACGTATTTCCTCAACATCGAAACGTGGAAAATATTATGCACTCCTGAGAGCTCTGGTGGCAACGCCAAGCGATAGGCCGTCTAATAAGACAGACTAATGGATAAGATGGAATATAATTAGGATAAGAGCTACACGTGGAATGAACCACATGGCATAACAAGATTAGGAAGTTTGGACAATACGAACGGGTAGCTCGGGCAGTCTGAGCAGCCCCTCCTGGCAGTCTTGGCCAAATAGGTAATACCCCTACATAAAAGGGTAAGGTATGTCCATTTAGACTCTACATTTTTTATACACTTTATTATACTTACACAGTTTTATATCTATTATTCATCGTCTTCATCACTGCAGACTTACTTTATCGTAAGAGTGCTAATGCGGGGAACCCCTCCCGACCCATTTTGCAGGTCTACGAACAGGTGAACCGGACAAAGGTCATTTGCACACTAAATATTATTCATTGGAAGGCCTAGAGTGACCTGACTATTCATAAGGAGTGAGGTGGATTGGGATTTCATGATCTTAAACATTTTAATGATGTCATGTTTGCGAAACAAAATTAGAGGATTTTCTCTCAACCCCATATTCTCGTCAGAAAGGGTCCTTGAAGTCAGATACTTTTCTAATGCTAGTTTGTTCGATTCCAAGATTCTGCAAAGTGCTTTCTGGTTGTGGAAAGCTGGTGGTCTGCTACTACTGCTCTGAGAGGGGATTTCTGTTGGCTTATTGGAAATGAAAAAGGGTTACGATTTTTTAGAACCCTTAGGTCCCTTCTTTACCTAATCCGAGCTCAGTTGTACCTTTGTGTGTGTGTGTGTGTGTGTGTTGAGGAGGGGGGAGGGGGGGAGAGGGAAAGACTAGAGTGTTGGAGTATACTGTGGAAGCTCAGCTTTATGTTACTCCCAATTCCGTTGTGAATGAGATTTCTAGTCAAGTGTATGTTTTAGTTTATTTATTTATGTGAACATAGTTCTTTTATTTTACATTGTAGATAATATGGTTCGATGTGTAGAACAGAAAGTTCATATTATTGTTTCCTTGTAAAATATAAATATTTGTTCACAGCCCATACGAAATTGAACTACTTGTCGTGAAAGGTTGTAGTGTGATTTTGAATTAGTTGGTATTTGACTAATGAATTGCACTAGTACATCTCGGATGTATTGGACAGACCTATGGAGGATAAGACTATTTTATACTGAACAAGTAAACAATCTAGACCTCAGTAATT